GTGAAACTTTAAGTTCTCAAATTTAGTAAAATTTTGTTTGAGAGTACAAAATTCATTATAAATATTTATATTTTGGGAGGCAAATATATTAATAGTAGTTCTACTTTTAAAAATTACAACATGTTATAATATTATTGTTCAAACTTGCAAATCTAGAAATACATATTCCGCTATATTTATATTTTAATTTATTTGTACTATAGGTGATTTTTCAATTCTTTTGACCGGGCAGCGGACAAGGGTTGTCGAACTTATATCACTTAAAATGTGAATTTCTTTCATCCAATGCAAATATCTATGAAAGGTGTATAGTAGAGTCCTCTTATCAATACCAACGAGATTACGAGTTTATCTGAACTGATAAGACAAGCCATTTACATTTGCAAGACACAAGTTTCTGTCTTTGATACCGTTTACAGAAATTGAGAGCTCTTATGCATTTCAAGGAAAATAAATCCATTTCAGTACTTATTGTCATCGAGTTACGAAAAACAAAAGTATTATTTTAATCAATTTATAGTGATATATTCTTTATCATTGTTCCAGTGACTTTATGCTCTTTCATCCTCAATTGTTTCGACAATTCTTTCTTACATAAGAAGCAGCTTATAGCGATAGCAATTCGCATTTCACGCGTATGCACTTGGAAGATTGTTTTTGTTCATGTTATTGATTTCCTGCTGCCTAACGTTACTAAACGTGGTGTGAAAACAGAGACAAAAAAGGAAAGACGGTGCAAGGAGAGCCATCGATGACTGGCGACGTTGCAAGCTTTCCGCGCAGTAATAATTCATCGGGGTCAACCTCGCCCAGCCAATATCGATCCTGTTCGTCCAAACGATAACGTGAAACTATGATCCACATCCATATCAAGGGTTGACCTAACTTGTTGAATCTCAGGGCCGAGTATGGTTATTTTCGTTACCTTTTTCTCTTCGGACATAAGGGAAAATTGACGTCGTTGCAGTTATCGTAGTCAACCTCGACCTCGTTTATCGTTCTCATTTTTCTCTTGCAGCTCAATTAATGTGCATCTAGTATTTGTTCTGTTAATTACGTTTTTCAGTATTCGGGCGATTTTGATAACGTTGCTTTTCGATTTATTTCTATGTAGGTGTGGGTGTGTGTGTGTGTGTATATATATATATTTTTTTTAAGTAATGCTTAGAAAGAAACATTTCAAACAAAGGTTACTTGTTTTCTACTACAGATTACAGCAACAATAGGTTTTCCATTTAAAAGTTTAAAGTTAAACCAGTTTCACTCCAGGAAGAAGAAAATAGTGAATAGAATACAATATTAATATTAATTTAAAGGCCCATAGAACCTCGAGATATTAAGTTGGTGATTCTCAAGATATTAAGCTACTCAAGGCTCGTGGGCTATCCTATATATATTACAAATGAGATAACGTCTCTAATATGTTGTTTCCTATTTTAGTTCTTTATTTATCTTTTATTCAAAATCAATTTGATCGGTTAAAAATCGTTCATTTTAACTTGTTTCTCAATATTGTGCAATAATGCACTCGTGCATTAAGCATAAACAAAAAAGTATATATGTACATATATATAAGAACAAGTAAATAAAAATATTTTTATCTACTTTTCATTCTTCTTCTTCTATGTATTTAGACGAGTAAATGTATATTTATCCTTATGTGTTCTGTACGTTATATGTAACTCAATTTATCTTTTTATAAAAAATCCTATTTATCTATCTCTTATCAAATTGTTTATCTGTCTAAATCACACGTTTGATTATTTCTGGAGTCTCGTCCCATACTTTCTTTTAAAATTGTTGTATTTAACTAACAGTTATTTATTATCAATTACTAATAATCATATTTGTTTGGTGTACGAACTTCTATTGTTACGTATGAATAAAAAGAGCAAAGAAATAAACGACTAAACAAATATTCAATAAAGCTATTAGGCGCTAATAATTGGCGTAATTTCGAGTCAGTTATAAAATATTGTCATTCGATCGGAAATAGACGACATATGTAATTACAATGAAAGATTGATGAATAATACATTTCAACCAGAAAATAAGACCAGTCGACTGACGATTAATCGCAAGAACTGATAATAATAAAATCAACAATATGAATAATCGCAATTTGATTATCAGACGAACAAATTACATAGACATTAACTCGATGTGTTTGGTGTGTGCGTAATTTCTATTAACCATACGAATATTTGCTAGATTAATCGTCTGGATAGAAATCAGCTTTATGTCTAGCGGACGGAACATGAATGTCTTTCACGAATAGGTGAAAAAAAGATGAAAGAATGTGGTTACAGACCACAAAGAGGGAGTTAACTGCGCAGAGCAGGTACTTGATGCAACGTAGGCCAACGTCGAGGTGTGTGGCAGCCATTTTGGTGTCCAGGAATCCTCTTTCACGCAGGTGCACTACGGAACTGAATGTGGAAACATCAAAACTCGATTCGATGTATCGTATTATCTGCTGATAAAACCGTATACGTACCAACAATACACGTAGCGCTACTTGTTACGTGCTTGTGCAAGAATCTTTTTGTTCTTGTATTTACGAAATCTGTTATAATGAATATTCGTAGCAAATAACTAAAATAAATTATTGAACTGATAAAAAAAAAAATTAATTTTTTTACGAATTCTGACGTAACAAATTCATCGTATATAGTAATAAGTGTTTACAAATTTTTCATCACTATCGTAATAGATTGTTAGTCATCGTCGTTAATAGAATAAAAATTTCAATGCTTGCATTATTTCCAGCAACGAAAGCTTTGACAAGATGGGCGTCATTTAAACAATTGTATGCTACTAGTAATTATGAAATCGCAAATTTAAGAAAAGAACAATATATTTCTAGATGAATTAGATTACAAGAATGATTAACTAAAATACATTTCGTTGTGTAACATAACAATTACGAAATGATAAACAAAAATCTAACAATAAGGATTGTACAGTTTACTTTAATTTAAAAGCATATAAATATACACACCCGCCGTATATATGTACATATGATTAATGTCATTTTTGTTTATTTCAAAATATTAAAATTTTTCGTAATCAAAAACCTAACCTTGAAATTGAAGTGTAATATAACTTAAATATATTTTCCGTTAAATCTGCGTTAATATACTGCTGTATCTACTTCCATGACAGTATGGCAGATTCATTTAAGATTTATTTATAAAAAATATTAACACTATAATGTGTAATATTAATAATACCTATCTTTCTTATGTTATACACTATTGAATAAAATATGCATTAATTAGTTAGTTATTGTAAGATTAATATGTAAATGTTAATGCTTCATTATGTGAATATTTATATCCTGTATATTTTCCTAAATTAACTATTTTTATCGCTATAGTAACTTTTAGTAGATATTTGTGCTAAAAGGCACATAACCAAAATAGCAAACATTTGCAAAGTTGTTGCAAACAAAAAAGTAGTCTAACTTAAGAAGTGTTCATAATAAATAGTATGCAAGCATATTTTTTGATAAAAAAAATAAAAGACGTAACTTCAAATACACATGTCTGAAGAAATAAGTTTTACTTAGCTACCTAGATCAAAATCATGATATACATACATACCTGTATTAGATAAAAAACATATTCGTTCTGATATTTTAACCATCTTGTGGAAAGTATTGTAATTTAAATTGTTTATTGTTGTAACATTAATTT